TGTATTAATTATGTCCGAGTAAATTAATGATAGAAATAATATACGCGTGCCAGTTTGAAGACCTCGTCGTCGGTGACACTCGAAAGAGTATAGGGTAGAACATTGTTTTATCTCCGAGGAACGCATATTTGCCAATTTCAATGCATAATTATGTAATCGGGTAAAGAGTCATGTGTGTAATTGATCGGGAGTTTAAACCACTTTGCAACTCTCTCCTCGTGTGTATTAATATGTCCAAACATATTTGGGTATTATTTTAAATTGCGAGAAAGTAATAAAACGAAAACTGAAAAATCGGGTTTTGTATAGCCGTTGTTACTCGATACGCTGCGAACTCGGTAATTACTATCACCGACTTGGTGTTAATACACTTACATATTTACATAATTCATACATCGTTACGGCTGTCTATGAGCTGAAAAATATATTGGCAGCTGGTTTGGATTATTAACAAAAACACATCTACAGTTACTGTCACCGAAAAATATACGAGTCCGATGAACTATTTTTTTTCGCTATTTATGTCTCATAATGAAAACGATGTAATAAGAGTCATTTCACTTGGACAATTTGTAGACCACGACGAAATCTCTCCAATTGGCGTTAACCTTATGTGCGGAAAAAAGTTGTCCGTCTCGGATTTCTTTCGAAACAACGCCGTGTCGATTTATTTTTGTAACCGTGGAAAAATTGAAGATACATTTTGGGTTTTCCCATTCACCACCATATCGGTCACAAAGGCTTAAGTTTTTTTTGTCGTATATTTATTTATAAAAAACCACATAACAGCTTTGGTGGATAAAACTGTATGTTACAACGACATTAACACCTGTATAATAATGATGTACAGCTACATCCAGCTCTTAAAGGATCGCACCCAAAGAGATTTCAATGCGCACACGATGTTGGGTACAACGTACAATGGTTTGAATGTTTAATCAAGACGTATTATGATAATATTAGTGGCTTAATTCGATACGGAATTCAACACACGAATCTCTTCCTAACAGTACGGAATGATAAATTATCAACACCGAGTTACGATGAAAATGACGTTGGCGGTAGGTCAAGTCGTTCCTCATGGATTTTCATTTGAATTCATGACCACCTCGTTACAATTCGGTATCGTTTGTAAGTCATGATCTTTGTTGACGTAGGCATGGGAATAATTGTACTACAACGGCATATATGTGTACGGTAGCTGGTACGTAACTGATTAATTCAGGAAAAAGACACTGCATCAGCACGGATACGAGGTATACCGGTAGACATTTAAAATGGTATATTAAAAATATGACAAAAATAATATTTAATGACCACTGAGCGGCGCTTATTAGACCGTAAACAAAAAGTAACGTCCATTTCAGGGTTTCGCGTTTGAATAAAAAATCAGACTAGATTACAAACAACAACAATAATAATAGGGTGTCCTCCGCGTAATATCGTTCATGGTTTTTTTAACGCTGTACCGTCCAGTCCAAACGTTGTTTTAAACAAACAACGTCGGATTCGTCCCATTATTGTTGCATCTGCTGCGTATTATGTACTTATTTCATAATAAGTAATAGCTCATATCCGTTTTGGCCGACCGTCGCAATTTAAATAGTGTTCGCATTACATTGCGAAATACTTGCGATTATGTTTTAGAACAATATCTCTCACCCACACAACGCGATTACATTATTGTACACGGGCGTCTCGACAATGACGGTTTTGTTAATGCCTATTGCGCCGTGTCAGTACTGTTGTTATTATATTTTTGTCGTTAATTAATCCACAGCCTATTTTATGGAAATCTTGTGGGCCGACGACAAAACTAAATATATTACAATCCGATGCAATAACGCTGTTGTTTTATTACTATTGTTGCGTAGCATAGGAATCTTCGTACGATAACTACTGCTACCAATAAAAAAACGGGCCAAGTGTTGGCCGACGAGATAAGTTGATCTTGTTTGCACAAGCGCATAGGATGTTGTAATTAAACAACTCGACAATGTTAAATTTATAAAACATTAAGCTGTTACTGGGTTACAAAAAAAAAAAACATGTAAACTGCGCTAGGTTAATAACCGGTAGGTTTACCGAATGTAGACATTAGTAACAACCCAAACAGTTGTAGGACCCACAGATGCATACACCAAAATATCATGGCAGATAATTGTCACGGTTCGTACGACGAGTGTGTGGCGCCCGTGTTCGAGACGACGATACGATAATCGCACCGGCGTTGGCGTGTGTGCTGCCACAACTAAGGCTGATTTCGGGAGAAAATTATAGTAATATTAAAACCTTATGGCCGTAGATTGTGGAAACACTGTAATAACATACACGTCATGTGTATACGTTATGCACGGCACTTGTTATCAACGAAGAGGGCCGTCAACACTACTACTGACGCCGCCGCCGCCGCTGTATCGTCACGATGATTAGCGCTCGTCATCGGTCGGTCGTAAGGTGCGCAAGAGATGATCCTCCAAAAATCACATAGATAAACAGAATTACACGTAAGGTAAGTATGTGAGGGAATGCGGTCGGGTCCCGGGCGTCGCTGCAACCACCGCCGTACACAGAGATACGGCAAGGTGGATGACCTTGGGACGCGACCTCCATCGGCCAGGTGAATGTTTGTATAATATCTGATGTGTGTGTGTGTGTGATGATATCCCACTACCGGCGACGTATCAGTTTTACCGAATACGTGCATTATATAACTACCTATGTTATTTTCGGGACCACAGTATTCGGCTGAGATTGCAATCCCTGCGTGCAGATATTGTGGCTCGACGATATCGGCGGACGCCTGGCATTCCTGAACTATTATTATCGGTGTGTACATGGCCAAACATGTTCAATCCGATTTTACACCTGACACCACGCTGCACGACATCTGGACCGAGTGTGTTCCGTAAAAGGGATGCTCGACGAAAAACCACTAAGAGCTCATAGAAGAGAACTTGTACAAATAGAATCGATTTTACGGTTCTCGATCAATTTAAAATGTCATTATTCATATTCCGCTTCCTCGTCATGAACCACCAAATGTCCAATAATCCACCAAAATACTAAGGCACACCCTCGTTAATGTTTGTTGCCGAGGTAATGCTATTAATGGCAAACTAATGTGTAAGAATGCAACCCGGTTACAATGCGTTTAATAGTTCATAATTGACGTGCAGCGACCAATTGATAAATATGAACGTAGGCTAACGTGTAACTACGCAAGTGTTAAACTTCCCTAGTGCTGCTAAGTAGAAGTGGAATGATCAAATCAGGAACTCGGAATAACACGCCGATGGCATTCGTTTGCAGACATCGATAATTATTTCATAACGAAATTGGAAAAATTACACCTCTGCAGATCAATACAAATTTGAACACTTGATGTAACCCGATCGTTTGAACTTCAAATCACAATGGGCGGCGGGTAAAATATTTATTTGACAACCAAGTCATATACGGACAAAAATCAGTGAACACAGATAAACCTTAATTGGCATATGACAATCCTACGGACTGCGTACGAATGAGCATTTTTTAATGCAGTTTAAAATGCGTGATGAAATTATGACCTCACCTAAATGAACGTTTACCAAATGAATATACGACACATAATCTTTGGTTGTCTGACTATTATTGTTAAGTAGTAGACATCAGTGGTTATCTTTTGATTCGTTTTTATCGGTTGTGTCCGTGTTGTATTGAGTGGAATTTGCATAAAAGTTCTTTAATATATCTTATGTTAGAATAACATTATGCATTATATTTGAGAAAGATTTTGTGAAGTGTGTATAGCGGGCGCATAAAATAATCTATTCTTATGTAATTGAGAAAAACAGACACTCGATGCGAATATGTGTAGGTTTTGATGGTCGAGTTTACGAGCTTAGAAAAATACATGACATGTTCTCTATTTACATATTAGAATATTTTATTGCTGACAAATTTACATCGTGAATTATATTATCAAGTGGCGTCTGTTATGATTTCAAACCACACAATTATAACGACGAATAAGCCATTAGATTGAATTTTATGTAAAAAATGAACAACAATGAAAATTTATAATGGACTTGTCAGACAGACACTAATACTNCAACAATGAAAATTTATAATGGACTTGTCAGACAGACACTAATACTCGGCCAACGTGTAATACTAGTTTCTATAATTAAGTCATTCTAGAGATTTTTGGTAAATTTTGGTTATTGAAAAGACAACACGGGTTGATTACAAACACGTTCTTCGCTTAGCTCCAATTTCGATTTGTATTATGATAAAATAAAAAAATAGAGGAATTTCTGTTTTGTAGATAAAAAAATACAGCCTTAGAAATCGGATTCCTTTAGGTTACGACAGATGGCACGACAGTAAAATAAATTTTATTGATAATCCAATTAACGTCTCGATGGCGAAATTAAACAGTTTTCTTTTTATTATTATTTTTTTTTTTTTAAACTTGTATACGGCCGAATTGTGGCAAACTGATTTCCATATTAATAGAGGCGGCAAAGAAAAACACGAACTATAATGTTAACTTACCACCATAATACTCAGGAACCGGCAAAACCACAAAGTAATGGACCGCGATCGTATATGTTGCGTTCGAATTGATTAAAAGCATCGACTGTAGATGAAGATTTTATGTGAAAGAGATAAAATAGTGATTGCACTTAAAGGCGCAATAGTAAAAATAGAATTTTAACATTTAATGCAATTGGACGTTAATTTTAGGAAGACTTTTTTTTGCTTTAACATTTTAAAGTTCAAACTCGGGAGGATAGCCTTAAGACAAACGGGAATGATAAGTGCGTACAGATAAGTCTAAAAATACACGTTGTACACAGCAGTCCGGGCAATGCCAACAATTCTCCAGCTGTCGCAGTTACCATATGGAAACCATTATAAATAAAAACGCCAGCGCAATGAGCTCTCACACGTTTTGTGTGCAGGCCATGTAATATGTGTACTTATAAAAAGTGTATTATATTAATACTCACATGTTCGTCGAGCGAATAAATCAGTTCTCCGTCGTCGAACAGCACAAACCACCGCCTTTGCCATCTCTATAAAGCAAAAATAGAAAACAAAAATTAGTACACATTTTTAGTGTTCATTCTTAACGCGATGAAAAAATATTACGACACAAAAACAGTAATTTATTTATACTGTAAATGCATTGTAACAGCTACTGCCGGCAATAATAAATTATGAAATAATGATTTTTGGTGACACTGTTTAGTTTTGTTTTTGTCTAGTCATTTTTGACCCAACATCAAGGTTGTACGAACAAAAATAGCATAATCGGTATTGACTATTGTCGAAGAAGGTGACGGCACATAAAAAGTTGAAAACGTACTAGTTAAGGTACGAATCGAGTTCGGTTGTACCGTTAATAAAACTTTGAATAGAAATAAAAAATCACTGTACAGCTGGCATACACACATACTTGTTCGTAAGTATACCCCAAGTTATGGTTTACGAATAGACTGAAGGTGACATATCGAATACGAGTGCGCAATAGCGAAGGACGCGACCAATTTATTCAACAGAAAAGACCATCAAACTGTTTATCACGAGAAACGTTAGTATAATGAACTTTAAAAAGTACATTCTACTACGAGAAGATTACAAATAGAGTCTTTAGTATTAAAATTACTACTTTGAGGTAGGTATCTCGTACGCATTACCTGCTTTGCCAATCCAAGTTGGCTCGGGTACCTATAATTTTTTTGTGCGCATACGTATAATTGTCTCTCGAATGCAGTCAGCAGTGCAGCTGGGAAATTTGCGTACAATTGAAAAAAAAAATACGGAGCAATTAAAATATAATTATAACTCGCGTGAGTTCGACGTACGCTTGGCCGTTTAAGCAGCACGTCTACACACACAGAAGTACCGATTGCCCGTTGTAAAATAAAAAACGGATGATTGGGTGCATTTAAACAGCGGAACCGCAGTTGTGTCGGCGAGCTGATTATCCTCACACACATTACGACTATTAAATAATGTAGTGTAATGTACAGGTATTGGTAAACTGCTGCGGTCGAACAATGAAATGATGTGATGCTCTCTCGGACGGGAAAACGAACCACAGTGTATTTTATTTTTACATGATTCTTGTATAGCATATTATTGCCAAGTGCCTCGGTTTGTTAACAGTGCGACGAGGCCGTTCTGGAAAACAATATGCTCAAAATGTAAATGAAACTAATTTCTAACTTAGTCATAGTTTGATAATATCAGCACACGCGGTCAGGGTAACAGTCTTATAATCACAAAAAAAAAAACAATTATAGACTCTCATTAATAAATAGTACACGGTATAACAATCGCAATGTGATTGTTAGAACAAAGTTCGTCATTATACAGATTAACTGATATTGTCAAGAACATTGCCCAGATTATAGATCTCGTGATAGAAAACAATACATTTTCATTTTATCGTTGAAACCATTGAAAAAAAGCCGAGCACTCTAGATTTACTATATTTGTTCTTNAAACCATTGAAAAAAAGCCGAGCACTCTAGATTTACTATATTTGTTCTTTGCAAACGCAACACACGAGATCTTCAAGGTTTATTTTATGGGCTAGGCATTTGAATACGTTAAGATAGAGTACAATAATAGCGTTCCATAGAAAAATCCTCCTCTATGGTAGACCCTGCCAGTGTCCTCGGAGACGTATCGTTGAATCTGTTATTTTCCCATGCAAAGTATTTGCATTTCTTCAATTATGTTTACACACGAGGAGTATGCGCGCACTTTAAATATTATTATAATTCGTTTTGCGTGTAAAACTGGTCGAGCTGTACACTGCTAGACGCATAATACGAGAAGCTCGCAGTTGAAACTACTGCAACTACTAGTACCCATATTATTATTATTGAAATAGTTATCCACATTATTGTCAATAATTAATGTTATTTTATGGCAGAGCACTCGAGACACACGCGCTGCAATAAAACCCCAATACATAATATAGAAGAGGGAAAAGTCTTTGTATAATAAAATGAGACCACGCAAACACACAATGCGTTTATTTTCACATCCAACTGTAGAAAAATGATTCGCGTAACCGAGAACGCAGCATTGTACTGTGACCAATAAAATATATTATTATCAATTATGTTATGCAGAATTATTTTCCGTTTCATTGGTCAAGCGAAATTGTGATACGAGGGCACATAAGACACAACCGCAAAGTACGAAACCGTGTAGAAACATTTTAATTTCATAACCCCAACACTGGTTGTCTCAACCCTGTAGCCGCGTTTCATAAAAACTTATTAAAATCCGCGCAATAAAAAATCAATTACCTGAATAGAGAACTGTGTGAATATTTTCTAATAATTTTTTCATCAAATAGATAAGAATAAAATTCAATTTGAAATGACCGACTTTGGCTTGTACTAGAACGAAACAATAAAAATGGAAATATTTGGCCTAAATGAATCGTTCAGTTTCGTTAAGAAATTGGCACGACTTGTAAAGTGTAATTATTGCGCGAATCGCAAGCCATTCGAAAACCGGAATGTTTCAGGGTAAAAATTGAAAGGCGCACGATAATCGCTATATTGTTTACATCTTAATTTGTTACAAATAGCTGCTGCAGTGCAGTTTCTCAATAAAAAAAAACGCGTATCGATTTTGTAAATCTAAAATGGCTACTGAATTGTTGGCACTCGACCAGTTGAATTTGATTTTATTTTCCTATACCGATAAAATTCTACAATCGAAATCAAATTAATGTCGTGAATTATCAACATGGCGATGCATCAATTTGAGCACACACTTTATCATTGTATGTGTTGTGCTAATAACTTGTTGCGAAAAATACTCAACATAACTATTCAATTGAGTCACATTGACATTTTTTTTAATAATGATTTATTGTTTTTTTTTCGCGCTCATAGTAATCATTCATGTCTACAAACATTTAGAAAAGACAACATAACTCTTATGGGGAATTTATGTACGCGCACGGTATCATTCGATGTTATTGTTAGGGAGTACCTATGCAATTTACTATCGATACTTTCAATATGTAAAGAAGTGTATTTAATTTCTATTAGTTTTGCTCGAGTAATATTTTCCGCGTATCAGTTATCACATTATTTCATTACCATTAATAATACCTTTAACCATAAAAAAAAAAAGTTCAATTATCGACGATTATTTATACAAACATGATCGGATCTTTTAGAATATTTATTAATCGGGAATGTTGTATAATATGTAAGCTTCGAGTTAAAAAATAAGTATTTATTTTTTCTAATTTATTCGCACAAAAACATTCCAAAACCATTTGTGTAATAATTCATTTATTATTCGTTATCTTAATGATTACAAATTCACGTACAATATTATGCTATTAATTATCTAAATGATTTGCTTAATCATCATGCGAATTACATGGGACCAGGTGCGTTATCGATCGGCGAGATTTATCATAATCAACGGTTATTAAACTGTATGTCTGAGAATTTTTTCGTGGGGTACAATAATTGTACTCTACACTTTACCTTTGGGTGTATAATTATTGTAAACTTATAATAACTAGACATAGTGCGCGTTCATTAATTTAGATGTCTACAAGTAATTATCAACGTTAACCATCGAAAAACGGGAGTCGGCGAAACGTTATCACGATTAGGACACACACATTCACTAGTCTCTGAGAGGTATACAAGAGGAACTTCAAAAATGGCAGTGAAAAAAAATGACGTGCTATGATATGTTACGTGCGCTGACTACGATACTACAATGTGTGTATACATAAGTGTGTTTGATGCGATAGTAGGAGGACGATGAACCCATTTGGCGGCATGGTGATTGTTTATTCACACACACACACACATAATACATACACAGGTCAATCGGTTCCGACACTATCATCACCGTCGGTATTGTGTACCGCGCATTGTACAATATATATATATATACATATGCATTCCATTCTTACACTAATGTACATCATAATGCAAAAAAGAAACACATGTATATATGCAGTACTATTGTGAGGCGATTTAATTTATGTCATCGATTGTAAGCATGAGCGAATTATGTATACATGCGGTTTTCGATAATGACACCGGAGGATTGATAAGGCCAGAGGTGGTCCACGGGCGGCCGCTGCCAAATGGATGACACACATGCAATCAAGTCCCAAGTACGTTTGAAACGAATCTATATTGTTGTTGCGGTCTTCTATTTTATTTTTATTTTTAATTACATGGCGGTACGGGTACGACTACATCTGATTGGTTTTTCTATATTAGGAGCACCCCCCGAAGATTTTACAAATTACAACTGTAATATGTCGGTGAACATTTTCACGCGTTTCTAATAGAACAAATAGGATATGTCTATTTTTCTTCTGTAGTTGGCGTGTTAGGTTAATTTCGTTTGAAGTTTATCGTACTGAAGCAAAGTAGCCGAACCCACTGCAGCAGTAACTACTGTCGTTACTACATGTAAACGCATAGCCCAATTACATTATTTTTGCGGTTAGAAAATAAACGCATGGGAAGTCTAATGTTTTTTTGTTGATTAATGTTCTCAACAGCTAAATTGCTATCCAACTGTCCTCGATTGAACACATGATCATACCCTGTTAGAAGGTACACGTCTAAGGCATACTTAAAACAGTTTTGGGTTCCTACCAGTTAAATATAATATCCGCAGTGTTAAACTGACTTTTGTTAATTTATTATTTCAAACAGTTTTTTAATAAAATAAATACTTAAATTAAATGAATTAACAGCATATCAAATAAGTAACGACCTCGCTGCGACGGCTGTGTGTATGTATAACGAATTTCAACTGAAAACAATTGCGCATTTAAATGCCTTCATAAAATATAAACACAAAACTACGAGTTTCTACCGAAAGACATGAAACATAAATAATTGGTATTCTAAAAAATGCATTACTATTTTTCATAGTTGCACATAATAGTTAACCACGAGCAATTGCGAAAGAAATTAAAATCGATTCGCAGAAACATCAGCAGTTGAACACGAGCGCATGGATTTTTAGTTAGCCAATTATATTTGCAATCATT